TCTTGATATTCCTCAATGTCTGCAACATCCCAGAAAACAAAACAAATATCATTTTAGAAGTGAAAGTTGAGGGTGTAAGAGCCACTTCTACCAGGACAAAAAGGCATAAATTTATTTGACCAGAATTTACAGTACACAAGGAGAAAAGGGAGTCCTTTCATTTATTTTAAGGCACTGCTATTAAAGAGACCCAAGTTCAATTTGAAAGTTCTACTACATAGAGACTTTCTGTGTGATCTGAGACAAGTCACTTAAGTTCTCTGTACCTAGGTTTCCCATCTGCAGTATAACAGATACTTTATATATGCTTCAAGGAAAAATCCTTAACAGTTGAGAAGTGCAGAGGTATTTAGCTGGCTGGCTCCATCTATCACAGATAAACACACAGTTGGCCCTCACTTCTATCCACGCTCTTCATGAAAACAGGAAGATTATATGAATTCCCAACCTAGTCACTAAAAATGTTAAATAACAAATACCTGTGCATGCCTGTATATGAATACAAGGTATCATCCAAACTTCCTAATTTTACCTTTATGTTTTTAAAGTGTTGCCAGGTGTTTTGCTTCCATCTTTCTTTTCAGTGCTAGTTTATCTATATTTTACCTGAACTCAGTTGCCTACGGTCTCTTGGCCACATAGACAAGAAACATATGTGTCTCTCTTTTCAGTGCTATTTTATATTATAGTGATTTCATCTGATATAGACAGAGATTTCATATAATATAAAATAGCACTGAAAAGAAAGAAAGATAGATATACCTTTTGTCTATGTGGCCAAGAGACAACCGAGTTCAGATAAATGGGGATGTAAAGTACATTACCTGAAGAAAGAATTTATATCCACTCATAAAGATATGAGCCAATAAGCTATCATGAAGAATCAATACTCAAATCCAAAAAAATCTCTAACCCAACTTGAAGGGCAAGAATTATAGCTTTCAACCATGTTCCTTTAATAAGAGTAAAAAAACATGTTAACACTCATTAAGATACAGGCTGATCGTGACTGTGGTGACAAGTTTTTACTTCTGTTGCTCTTCTGAAGTTTGGGTGTCTCTTCACTAGGGAAAAAGGTATGCTTTTAATTCATGGAAGCCAAGATAACAGAAGCCCTAGTGAAGTGAAACAGAGCAGTTCACAGCCTTAACATAAATTAGCCGATAAAGCTTTCTAAGAAGCAGCCAGGAGTATAACTCAGCCTCCTAACTTATGAGCTGCCTACTTTTTCCTAGAACATTACTTCACCTTAGCAAACCAAATAAAAACGAGCATTTTCCTTACCGAAGACGAGGCCTTTGCATTTCGCAAGTGAGAAAAGCCACAATGCAGAAACACAGCTTGCTACGTACTTAATTATGTGAGATATGCTGCACGATTTACAGCAACAATAAGCCAAGTCATCCTATTTTTTTCCCAGTAAACTGTGGGGAGAACTTATCTTCACTTTCTTCAGATAAGAGGCATAATTGTAAGGAGACACCCAAGGAGCAGAAACACTGGTGTGGATAAAACCCACTGCCACCTGAGCTGCATTAGCCTGAAGCACTTCTCAGGCTAGGTCTTTTACATCAAATTGCCTGCTGTCCTATAGAGTTGAAAGGGGAGGTACTGAGGTTAACACTGCAATGAACAAAAGCCTTAAGAAAACATCAACCTGCCTTAACTTTTTTTTTTTTTTTATTTTACAGCTGCTTAGAATTGTTAGTTTTTCTACAACAGCTAAGAAGTCTGCCTGCACAAACTCTTTTGGGCCCTTTGTACCTCCCAGCATTTTAGAAAAGCTTGGCTAGGGTGTACTAATAAATTCATAAGGGATTAGGTTGAACAAAAGTTAAGATACCTTAAAATAATAAGAAATCAACATTGTTTCTAAATATCAACCACAATGTTGGTTTTTTAAGATAAGCAAACATTTACTGACTAAAACCCTAACCCTACAAACATTCACACACTAAACAGTCTGAACAAGCTCTTCAGAGTTACTCACACTTGCCAAATGATGCAAGGTCTAGAAATTAAAGTATGTTTCAAGATAGCATTACCGCTAAACCAGGCAAGCCCACAGAGACATAAAAAGCGATCTGAGATACCCTTAGCTGGCTTAAATCCACTAACCAAGGTCAATTTTTAATGGGGGAACAAAACTCTGAAATATGATTTTAAAATTAAAGAATAAATATTATAGTATTACTTCCCTCTTGGACAAGTACCATCTATCATAACTGCAGTTCCCCCACACCACTGCACTTAAGAACTTATGGTCTGATCCAGTGAATGTCAGTTCTTAAGTCCATCCTGCCAAGGATCCCATCACAAATAAAGCATGATCTGCCCAATGCATCCCCTTAGCAAATTCATTTTAAACCTTTGACCTCCACTCCCATCCCTGTTTTGTTATAATTTATCCCAAGCAATCAGCTGCCACTTTCCCTGTTGCCTCCCTCTCTGAGGGGGTCTTAGTTTCATGTGGTGGGCATTCCTCCCAAAAACCCCTGAAAGGGCAAACAGCCCTGTCACACATTCAGCATGCTCTGCTCTGTATCCCCCCTTGGTGCACTCATTTGAAGCTTTGGACCACACTCCTGTCTACCTAGTGGCCTTCCTTTTTAAGGGAGGCTTATAATGTTTCCTGGTGGGCACTGGCGTGCATTCCTTAGGCAACAAATAGGCCTGTCGCACATCCAGTGTGCTCTGCCCTGTGCCCCCCCTCAATGCACTGGTCTTGAACTTTTGACCTCCACCCACATTCCTGTTTTGTTATCATTTGTCCCAAGAAATCAGTGACATGCTCCTAGTGGCCAGTGGGGCTTATAGTTTCATGTGGTGGCCCAAGGTCCACAATTCCCCAGTAGCATGTCAAAAGGCCTCTCTCTCACATCTGGTGTGCTCTCCTCAGTGCCCTCCCTTGTACACTTGTTTTGAACCTTCGACCTCTGCTCCTGTCACTGTTATGTTTTCAGTTGTTCCCACGGAATGAATTGTTGTTTTCAAAGTGGCCTCCCTTTATAAGGGAGGCTTTTAGTTTCTCATAGTGGGCACTGGCCAACAATTCCTTTAAGGTAACAAATAGGCCTGTGTCACACATCCAGGATGGTCTCCTTGGTGTCCCCCCTTGGTGCACTCATTTTGAACTTATGACCCTCACTCCCATCCCTGTTTTGGCTTTCAGTTATCCCAAATAATCAGTGATATGCCCATAGTGGACCCCATCACCAAAGGGGGTGGGGGTCAAATCCCTACTGCAACATAGTTCTAGTTGGTGGGCTCTGACCCACATCACCTTATGGCATATCAAAAGGTCATGTCACATGGGCAGAGGGCGGAGGCTGGAAGGGAGAGAGAACAGAGTATGACCAGGGCTTTTCCTCTCACTGTTCCTCTCACTTGCAGCCTCCAACATTCAGGGTCTAGAAAAAGTTTTGGAGGCTGTGCTCCTCACTTCCATACTCAATTGCCACTGAGGCCCCTTTCAACCATTTGAATCATTTGACCCCAGTGCTCTTCCTGCCATGGCAGGGAGTCGGACTAGATGATCTGCTCAGGTCCCTTCCGACCCTAGAAACTATGAAACCAAGAATTTTATAGAATTGTAGAAAAATGAGGGCTGGAAGGGACCTCAGGAGCTCATCTAATCCAACCCCCTGTTCTGTGCAGGCCTGTCCCTCAATCTCTCATCTCAATCCAGTCTTTGTCTAGCCAGGTCTTAAAAGCCTCCAAGGAGGGAGAGTCTACCACCTCTCTCACAACCTATCCCAGTGTTTTCCTGCCCTCCTGGGGAGAAAGTTTTTCCTTCTATCCAACCACAATATCCCATGCTGCAATCCTATTTTGAATCTGGCTACAGCATCAGCTCCTGATGGTGAGGAGCTCCAAACTCAAATGAAGCTCTGCGTTAAGGAGGCGAGGAGTTTACACTTGAATGATGCGTTGTGTGGAGAACTTCCTTCCACTAGTTTAAAATGGACCACCCCGTTTCTCCCAGGACTCCACACTCCCCAAAGTCCTCTGCATCCCCAAACCTCTACTGGATCTCAGAATCAAGTTGCAGCAGGGGAAGTTTAAGCTAGATCTTAGGAAAAACTTACTCTGGAAGAGCGTAGTAAAGCACTGGAACAGAGAGGTGGTGCACTCTCCATCCTTGGAGGTTTTCAAGGCCTGGCTCAACAAAGCCTGGGCTGGGATGATTTAGCTGGGGGTTGGTCCTGCTGTGAGCAGGGGGTTGCACTAAGTCAGCGGTTCTCAACCTATTTTATACCAGGACCCATTTGTCGTCAATGGTCAGTTCCAACTTTAAGTAGAAAACAGCCCCGGGTCCTGCTGGTGCCCCTCACTCCCGACCTGCTGCCCCTCAACCCAAGCGCCAACCCCCCTGCATGTGGAGGGATGTGTAAGGATCAGGGGCTCCAAGCAGTCTCTCACAAGCTGGAGCTCTGCCAGCCTGTAACGGAAAAACCATGGTTTCCCCTGTTTTTCTCCATTAAAGGAGAATCTGTTTTTAAAAGTTTATTCATGATCCTTTCATATATTCTTGCCACTCACTTTTGAGTGGTGACCACAGGATGAGAACCACTGGGGGACCTACTAGGGTCCCTTCCAGCCTCATTTTCTAGGATTGTTTCTCAAAGACTCATTCAATGCCTGGGTCCAAAACAATGCCAAGGGGCAAGCCTGCAGGTGGGCAGCCCCACTCCCTCCCCTAGCCGACTCCCAGCTGCACCCAGACACTCCCAATGCACATGCCCAGGTGAAGCTACTCCACACCCTGACCCCAAAGCACACCCCCACCCCCTCGTAGCTCCTGTAGCCTAGAGACACTCCCTCTACAGGGGGGGCGGTGTCCCACACAGGCGCCCCCAGGCGGGGGGGACGGGGACCTGGGCCAGGCTAAAGCTTCGGAGATGGGAGGGGGGACGGCACCACGTGACACCATCACCCGTGCAGGCCCCCGAATCGTACTGACCGGGTAGCGCGCGTCGCCAGGGCCCGGCCGCGCTTACCTCGCTGCCGGCAGCCGCTGCTGTCCCCGCGGGCCGCCACAAGCCTAAGCGCTTCCTCCTCTTCCAGCGTCAGCCCCAGCTTGGCCGTCCTCGCAGTCCAGGCTGCGGCCCGACTGCGGGGAGAGCAGTCAGGTGACTCCCCACAACAGGACCAACCAGCCCGCCCCCAAACAGCGCCGCCACCGCTTACCCCGCCCCCGCCGCCCGTTGATTGGGCGTCACCACCTTGAGTGACGTGCTGAGTCCTACAGCCCGCCGCCGCGCATGCG